TCATCATCATCATCATCATCATCATCATCATCATCATCATCATCATCTATATCATCATCATACTCGTTAATGTTCCACTTCCAGTGATTCAGGGACCCCGAGACAGTCTGTTTTTTGCAAGCACTTTGATCTTCGCCGGACATCGCCCTTGACAGTGAACTTGCAGCACTCCTTCCCCAAACCCTGCGCATGTTCCATCTAAGATGCACCCTACCACTCACATGTCCGGAACTCGGTCGGTTTCGTTTGGGTCTTCGGGGCGCTTCGGGCAGGCACATCTCAGGTCCTTGGAGCGCGAACGTTGCGCGTCTCACCACGCGCACCTCTGCGCCCCGCGCCGAAGAAGGACACCCTGCGATGCTTTTCTCTCAAGCAACGACTGGACTGTTTTACTGTCGACAAAGTCAAACATGAACGAACAAGTACATAAATAAATAAATATATAATGTATATATATACTATAGAGAGAGAGACATAGGACATTTCCTTGATTTATCTAATTACTGTATATATATATAGATAACATATTATACAACCATTGCCATACGATATAGCATTATGTGATATTCTGTGTATACATCTGTGTAGCAAAAAGACACATGAGTCAATTGTCAATCAACTCACTGCGATACGTGACAGTTTTCAGGTGTCCGGAATTCCAATGTCCTTCGATCGAGTCACCTCTGTTCGCAAAACATCTTTGAGCGGCTTGGAGTCACCTCTTTGTTCGCTCGAACCACCGGGGAGGTGTTCGCAGCCGAACATCGCCCAAAGGGCGACTCATGGACTGCCCTTACAAAGGATTGCACCCTTCCAAAGAAAGCGGATACTATGCAATATCGAAAGACCGTGGATCCTCATTCACGTCAAAACCGTATATCGATCAGCAGAAAACACACACAAATGCTTATGGTCAACGACATGGTCAGGGGGATTCCACAGGTCACCCTCCAATAGCTTGGGTAAATCAAGGATCCAGATCTACAAGACGAGAAAAGACAACTTCCCACATCTTTCATCATCTTTCCACCTGCTTGACTGACCTCGGGCGAAGCTGGCGTCCTTCTGGCTTGGCCTTGGTGTGCGCGGCCCCTGAGCTTCTGGGGCCTTGCAAACGGGCCTGAAAAAGAACAATGCATGTCGTGTTGAGCTGTCATGTGGTCAAAACGGAGGAGCTCCGCAAACATAACGCCTGTATACCCATGACGACACAATTTGCCATATTATAGGCAATATATAGACGCTATAGACCCATATAAATGGGTTTGAGGTCCGTTGCTTTCTTCGGAAACGAATCCTTGCACATTACAATTGGCCAATCTAGGTCTGGCCAGTTAATCTATGGGCCCACGATCTACGCAACTGGATTTGCAAACGCTCTGTGGGAAGACTCGTCATAATAGATGATGAAAGGCCAACATCACTATGGTCCTATAGCTATCACTGTTCCACTTCCGCGGCCCATCATCCATCTCCACATCTCATCCGCCGAAATCGGGAAAAAAAGGCCGCCGGGACCCCGGACGTGCATCTTCGGCTTCCTGCCGGCCTTGCCAGCGCCGTTCCTCCAGCTCGTGCCTCATCGTTCGGCCGAACCGAGCGGATGAGAGCACCGACCAGCTCGCGCTGTCCGTCCGTGCCCGGACACCACGTAGCCGTCACGTAGCCTATGCCTATGCCATCTGTCGCGCGCCTTTCTTTCGGATCTCCTTGACCTTCTGAGGGGGAAAAGGTCACTTGGAAGGAGCAAATCTAATTGATCCATCCTCCCATCATTCGCGTGGTGACCAGAAACTGGGATGACAAAACGCGGGGTTCCCTCGGTTCCTTGATGTTCCGAAGGTGTCCCTTTCCATCTTTAATGCAAGAAAAACTTCACAGCAGGTGACCTCCAAATGAACCAAACTTCATTCCTCTGCAGCTCTTGGTCAAGCAGGCATGAGCAGGCGCAAGTGCATGACGAATCCGGATGCAGACTGAAAGCTTGAAATTCAACATTGAAGGATCTGAATTCAGAAGCATGGGGGATGATCTTCTGGCACCATGCTGTGACCGAACGCCAGTCAGTCAACTCCAATCTGCCGCAGTGAGTCGCAAATAGAGCTCAGAGACTCAGGGACCAGGGGTCTATGAATGTGTGTCTCATCCCCTCGCGTGGGCTAAGGAATAGTCTCAAACCATCTAGGATCATCTAGGTGTCCCCACTGCTGCTGAGCAAGTCTCTGCTTCATCGCTTGTAGCGGGTTCATCCTGAGGAACAGCAACTTCAGCAAACAAGCAAATCGTTATAAAGTTTGCACGGGTCAGGTGCTCCAAGCCAAGCCTGTGACAAGAACATACAAGAACAGCCAATTCTTGCTGCGGCTTGGGACAGCACCCCGGAGGAAATACACTTAACCGTATCAATCCAGGCATCCTCTATTGTGGCACCAAATGTACGTTGGCACCAATGTAGGCTGGTGATCTAAATCTGATTTTGTCCTTACCGCATGCACATGTTCTATTGTTGCCGTTTGTGAACAGGGTAATTGTTTCCAACTCGGCTATGTCGATGTAGATCGGCCCACTAGGGCCCGGGCGGGACCCCACGGGCCGGCGATGGCCGAGGGTTCGACTTCCACCCGCGCTCAGAGCACGTCTGCTCCGTCGGCCCAGCGGGCCGGGCGCGCTCGTGCGAGCCGGCGCGCGCACGCGCACCGATGGGTTTCTTCGGGTCGGATCGAGGTCCTGGAGCGGAAAGATCCGAAGAACGGACGGATATACTGAGAGCAGTACGCCATGAGGCCCGTGTTTTGGTTTTCCTTATCTTGCCAGAATTGAATGGAATTTTGGATTTTTTGGGGTGTGTTTTTGGTTCTTTTTAAACTTCCCGATGTTTACAGTTAATTTCCTCAATGCACGAGAAATAGAAATATACTCATCACATTTTCAACGAGAAAACTAAATATCTCCAATGCACACATTTTCAGTTTCCATCCAACTTGGAATTTTGTGTTGGATTTAGGTGCCGGGCATGGTTAAGCTCACACTGAGGTTTTTTAAATCACATATATACATATATATTATGTGATCTTTTGAAGACCCGTATTGACAAGAAACGAGTTGTAGAAATAGCGTTTGTAGAAATAGCTTTTGATGCACCAGAAATATCCAAAATTGACTTGAAACGAGACATGCGCCCATCTCCCACGAGGAAAAGAAATATCGTTTTTCCACTGGTGCAAAATGTTTGCAAGTCATCATGTCTTAAGTTTGTTTTAAGCATAACAACTTGAGGCCAGGGGGAGAGGTCGAAAGCTAGCCAAATCGCACCAGATGTACTAGTTACATAGTCGGCAAAGCATGTAGGGATGACATGTTTTGGGAGGAAGGTTGCTATGTACATACTTTGCGCTAAAGAATGTAAATGTGACATCGCTGACTGGGAAGGGTACATTGGAACAACCCGGGTGCACTCGTTGGCAGGCACGAAGATGCGTGATCGGCAAATCTGGGGGGTAAATTTACCCTCCGCTTTTGTATGCCTTGAGTCGGAAAGAGGGGTAAGCATTTCTGACATCATACGGACTGTACATACACTAGGCGTCCGTAGTGTAGGAGAAGCACGGGTAAAAGGTATATGGAATAGAGTGTCTTGAGGAAATAGCCGGTGTATGGTTATTGCAAATCTGGGGGGTAAATTTACCCCCCGCTTATGTATGCCTTGCGCTGGAAAGAGGGGTAAGCATTTCTGGCATCACAAGGACTGTGCATACACTAGGGCGTCCGTAGTGTAGGATCTGGTAAAAGGTATAAGGAGTAGAGTGTCTTGAGGAAATAGCCGGCTTATGGTTATGGCAAATCTGGGGGGTAAATTTACACCCCGCTTATGTATGCCTTGAGCCGGAACGAGGGGTAAGCATCACAAGGACTGTGCATACACTAGGGCGTCCGTAGTGTAGGATAAGCACTGGTAAAAGGTATCAAGAATAGAGTGTTTTGAGGAAATAGCCGGTGTATGGTTATAGCAAGCCTGGGGGGTAAATTTACCACCCGCTTATGCATGCATTAGGTTAGAAATAGGGGTAAACAACTTGTAACGGTGAAGTACAAGTCCTATGCAGCAAGCAGCAGCCAGCAGCAGCAGCAGCAGCAGCCGCCTGCAGCCAGCAGCCAGCAGCAACCACCAACCAGCAGCCAGCCAGCAGCACCACGCAGCAGCAGCGCAGCATCAAGCCGCAGCAGCAGCAGCACCACCGGCAGCAAGCAGCAAGCAGCAGCAGCAAGCAGCAAGCAGCAAGCAGCAGTAGCAGCGGCGTCGTCAGCAACAGCAGCAGCAGCACCAAGCCGCAACAAGTAGCAAAGCAGCAGCTACAAAAGCGGCAACCAGCGGCAGCAGCAAACAGCAGCAGCAAGCAGCAGAGCGGCAGCAGCAGCAGCACCCTTTACACCAAGCCACCGTTACACCCAACCAACCACGTTCACACGTTCAACCAACCCCCTACACGGCGCAGCTGGGAGTTGAACCGCGGGGGGGGGGGGGGGTTAGCTTGATATATCAATCTTTAAGGCACGCAGCCCCTCCCACCACAACATTGCTAAAGCAAAGAAGAACTCAGCTAGCATGCTAGCTTTCGTGAAAAACAACAAAAAATCCAAAATTCCATTCAATTCTGGCAAGTTATATACATATATATTTATATACATACATGCCAGTGTTTGTTTGTTTAAAGTGGTAGCCTGCCCTCCATATCTGATACTGCAAATAAAACTATAGAATTATTTGATTGGAGAGCCTTTTTTCAAGATTTAAAACAAAGGAAAATCAACATAGTAGTCGGTGCCAAAAGTCAAAGTCAAAAAATCACAAATCAGAAAGTTTCAGAAAATAAAAAAGAAGTCAATTATACCAGATCTGACTTTTTGTTCGATTGTTTTTCCCCAAACAGTGTGGACACACTAGGGGTTCTTACGGTAGTAGAAAAACAGCTGATGCTTAGATCGCTGCAGCGCGCGGGCCTGAACGGCTATATAATTCGTTGCTATTTACAGCACATTCATGCCTCTCAACATGTGCATTTTGACTGCGCAGGCTCGCAGAATCTGGGTGGCCTGGGCGCTTCTAGCGACTGCGCTCTCGTTGTGGCGCAGTGCGCATTTTCGCACATGGTTTTATGTCGAAGTGCAAGTTTCGTGGCAGGGGCAGCACTTTGGACATGGAGGTGATCGTCGAGGAGCTCAGATTTCGTGACAGGTGCAGTGAATCGTGACTTTTGGACATGTGGCTCGTTGGCAGATTTCGTGGCAGGCACAGCACAATTTGTGACCCTCGATGTGCAGATTTCGTGGCAGGTGCAGCAATTTGTGAACCTCGAAGTGCAGATTTCGTGACAGGTACAGCACTTTGTGAACCTCGAAGTGCAGATTTCGTGGCAGGCGCAGCACTTGGTGAACCTCGAAGCGCAGATTTCGTGGCAAGCGCAGCACTTGGTGAACCTTGACGTGCAGATTCCGTGACAGGTATACAGCACTTGGTGAACCTCGACGTGTAGATTTCATGGCAGGCGCAGCACTTGGTGAACCTCGACGTGCAGATTTCGTGGCAGGCGCAGCACTTGGTGGACCTGGAAGTGCAGATTTCGTGGCAGGCGCAGCACTTGGTGAGCCTCGAAGTGCAGATTTGTGACAGGCACAGCACTTGGTGAACCTCGAAGTGCAAACCTCGAAGTGTAGATTTCGTGGCAGGCGCAGCGCGTGGTGAACCTCGAAGTGCAGATTTCGTGGCAGGCACAGCGCTAGGTAAACCTCGAAGTGCAAATTTCGTGGCAGGCGCAGTACTTTGTGCACCCTCTCACTCACACTCACACCCCCTCACACTCCCGCACTCACACTCACTCTCCCACTCTCACTCGCACTTGCACTCACACTCACTCACTCTCACTCGCACTCATTCTCATCCACACTCACTCCCACTCACACCCACTCTCACTCACTCTCGCACTCCCTCAACACACTCACTCACTCAGAGTGAGAGTGAGTGTGAGTGTGAGTAAGTGAGCGTGCGTGAGAGTGAAGGTGACTGTTAGTGAGTGTGGGTGAGAGTGAGAGTGTGTGTGAGTGAGAGTGGGAGTGAGTGTGAGTGAGTGCGAGTGCGAGTGCAAGTGCGAGTGCAAGTGCAAGTGCAAGTGAGAGTGAGAGTGAGAGTGAGTGTGAGTGTGAGTGTGAGTGTGAGTGAGCGCGAGTGAGAGTGAAGGTGGGTGTTAGTGAGTGTGGGTGAGAGTGAGAGTGTGGGGAGAGTGTGGGTGAGAGTGAGTGTGAGTGAGAGTGAGAGTGAGTGTGAGTATATGAGTGGGATCACTGAAGGTGAGTGTGAGCGCGAGCGTGTGGGAGTGTGAGAGTGAGCGTGGGAGAGTGAGAGAGTGAGTGTGAGAGTGAGAGTGAGGGTGAGAGTGAGAGTGAGAGAGAGAGAGGGAGAGAGTGAGAGTGAGTGAATGAGAGTGTGTGAGTGAGCGTGAAGGTGGGTGCGAGTGAGTCTGGGTGAGAGCGAGTGAGTGCGAGTGTGAGTGAGAGTGAGAGTGAGTGTGAGAGTGAGTGTGGGTGAGTGAGTGTGCGTGTGAGTGTGAGTGCGAGTGTGAGTGAGAGCGAGTGAGAGTCTGCGAATGGGAGTGAGGAGTGTGAGTGTGAGTGGGAGTGGAAGAGTGAGTGAGTGAGTCACTCTCACTCACACTCGCACTCACACTCACTCTCCCACTCTCACTCACACTCACACTCCCTCTCACCCACACTCAGTCACACCAACTTCACTTGATCACCACCATCACCTCTCTGGACCCCAATGCGTCTAGATCTCTAGACTTTCTGCTTACAGACCTCACACACACTGTTTGGGGTCTCTTGCCGGGATATTATTTTTGAGTTGTGTTCTAGTTTTGACATGTTTGTGACTTGTTTAAAACTGTTTTCCGACTTTTGCTGGTTGTTGATTTGTTATCTGACGTGTTTTTCGAGTTGTTATTTTTGTGTTTTTTGTTTTAACTAGTGTGCCCCTTTTTTAACTTTTGTTCCGACTCTTTTGACTTTTTCAAGTTGTGTCATTACAGTTTCATGCCAAGCTGCTTGGGAATGCAATTGGCAATCACACTGATACCAATCAGAAGTTAATGCACACAGACTTGTACATGGAGATTTGGACATGGACAAAGGAAGTGTTCTGCTCAAACGCTTTCAGCTGTAAGGAGAAAGAACAAATGACTTTAGGTGAGACTTAGGCTCAAATGCGTGAAGATTGAACGATATAGTAATAGCACAGATTGTCTTAGAAAGGAACATAATAAAAAAAACAAAAAAACACTTGGGAAAAACCACAAACAATTCTGGGGAAGTATTGGGGAAGGGGTGGTCCAGCCAAGAGTCTCTGAGAATTGTTTGTTTGTTTTGCCTTATGGTTTTCCCAAGTTTTGTTTTTGATTGTCTTTATTGTTTAGCAAGATGTTGTGTTTATTTTGTATTTTTATATAACCATCTAAAAATACAGATTTCCAAAACGCAGGCCCCATGGTGTGCCCTTCTGGGTATATATATATATACTACAAATTTGAGGCAGGTTCTAAATTGGAAACTGGAAGAAAATGGACAGTAACACCCACAGGTCACCCACATCAAGCTTCAGTCATTTCGGAGTGTCGGCTGTACTCAAAAACGCAGTCCTGAGGCGGCCTTCTCCGTCCTTGCGTACTCTGCCACCGCCTCCCTCGCTCGCAGGTTGATGGCCGCCTCTCTCCGCTGACAGCTCTGTCGCCAGAAGCTTTGCAAGGCTTTGGCTGCTTCGTGGGCGACCTCACCAGCAGCCATGAGCAGCGCACGCTTGGGGTCGCGGCTCCAGTCAGGGTTGCTGGCCATGAAGAGAAGTCCAGCCACAAAGTCCTCCAAAAGACTAAACTGAGGAGCTGCTTCTGGCAGAATTTAGTCAGTTGAGACATTGGATCAAGGCCTTCAGGAATAAACTATATAGAAGCTATAGAACGCTATAGAACACCAACTCCTTCAACATCACATCAATCACCCGCAGTGCAGTCCTCCCCTCCGCATCTGGCCAAGCTTCGCTTGGACTTCCACAAGCCCTTGTTCTTTGTAGCCAAGGACCCCACCGAGGCACACAGTGACTGGGCCGTCACAGCGCCTCGCGCAGGTCGACGTTCCCGCGGCGGTCCGCCAGGCGCCGTTCCGCCCACGGCACGTCCCACGGGCGCCACGGGCGCCGGTGGCGGAACCCCCAGCGGGCTCGGCTGGGCTGCACAAAGGTGGCGTTGACCTTTGATGGGCTCCTCCCCACAGTTGGGGCAGATGATGCGCATCATCGGAGAACCCGAGAAATTGGATTGAATATGATTGAATGTTGGGCTGTGAACCAGGATTCTCTGCTGTCTTTAAATCATTGCTGTTGATTGCTGCTCTTGGCCTTGATGCAGTGCAGCTTTCAACGGCTTCTTCTCTGAGAATCAAAGGCCGACGCTCAAGGTTCACAGGTCGCCCAACCAAGGAGGCTACTGGCCTACCCTCCTCAGCTCAATGACATAGCAGCATGTTTCTAACTGTCAAACATGACTTGGAAAAGCATGAAAAATCACTTGGAAAACCGTGAGTCGCCTTAGCATGCCGATCCTCTGCAGTTCCAATAATTGATTGAGGATGGAACTTACTTCACGGGTTGCAAATGTCCGAGCGAGAATTTAGCCAAGTCTTGCAACTTAAACCCGCCTCAGTTGAGCACCCTGCCCATGGCTGGAAGAGGTTCTTTTTTGGCAACTTGCAAATACTTGCAGCAGTTCTTGACATGATTCCCATGCAAGGTTTCCAGCCAACCAACTTGTTCTTAGATGCTGAAACACTGTGTCCAGATCGCACTTTTAGACTCCTGCTGCAAAGACCCTGCGACCTGTCACCCGCGGTTGACCGACCACAGCAGTGTGTTGCCGTGCGCCGTTGATGGCCTGAAGAAGAGAGGACGATGACGCACTGAAAGGAATAGGGTGCAGATGGGTGCAGGCGAAAGAGCTGACACCCTCCAACTCCCGTTCGGAAGTGCATGGCATGGCCTCTGGGAAGACCCTAACAGCACTCCACCAACGTCCAGAGGCCCTGGAGTCCCTGGGCTTTCCTGTGAGGATCAAACCATCAGGTGTCACACAGGCCATGTCCATGCGCCCAACCGTCGATGCCTTGGTGGCTCTGCTCCTTCCCTTAGATCTTACAAGTCATTAGTACGGGAAAAAACATACGAGAAATTCCCAGTCGAACCGGGGGGCATCATCACTCAGGCCTTGCCAAGAACCAAAAGACCATGAACCATGAACCAACACCTGCAAAACCTGTGGTTTCTGTAGACCCTGATGAATCCAAAGACCTGAAAAGGTCTCTGGATCAACCGGGGACTCGACGAACGCCATCGCCATCGACTCGACTCGACGGCCGTCGTCGAAGGTCGGTCGAACCCGCTCCTCGACCCACTGGGCAGCTCGTCGCTCTGACACACAACGAAAGGTGTCTGTCTTGCCCGGCCAGTCCACCTGGTAGCCCGGAAAGTCCCGGAAAGCGCTTGAGAACCTGTTTGTTTGGGTCTGTTCCTGAGAGGTGGCGAGCTGAGACTACCAGGACCATTTTTGAGTGACAGGAGACAACTGCTTACCTGCTCACCACAAGCTCAGTGACCGGGGCTGGCCTCGAAGGATCGGGAGCACTGGCTGGTTGTCTTGGCCGCAGATACCAAGCAGCTCAAAGGAGACCTGGGTCTCATCAACTGGGCTCGCTCGTTGGGAAGAGGTCTGTGACCAGTGATGGAGTGGGGTTTCGAAGGAAGATTCATGGGATGGGTTTCAAAAATGAGACTGATCCTGGATGAACGGAATAGTGATGAACCTTATGAATCGTTACTTACAGTAGGCTCATCAATGAATCGTTCTGGGGTAGGTAGATGTAGGTAACTCTTCCAGTCCCATGGTGAATGGATAAAACCTCATGAAACGGTGGGAAGAGGTGCTGTTCTTGGGGGATGCCTAGTGCATCCCAGTGCTATTATCTCATATTATCTCTAGATGACTTTGTGGCCCTGAAACACAGGAATATCATGTAGAGCGCTGGTAGAGAGCGATAATACGATTACGCCATTTAGCGCCTTGGGCTGCAAAGCCCTGGCAGTCTGGGTGCCTGGGATAAGCACGAATACGTTCTTCTTCGCCCCCACGAACACCAGCGGCTGTGCACCCCCGGGTCAGCGGGTCGGTCGGACCGATGGCACGAGACGGCATCCGGCCACGAAGAACGAGGCTCCGGACTCGCTGAGCAGGCTCTGCGATCCTCTCGTTTTTAGGACCTTGAACCTTGGAAGCCACCCGTCTGAGCATCTGGCCGTGTGAGTTCGCAAGAGGACGCAGCAATTTGTGTTCCTCCGAATCCGACATAGAGATTCAAGATGATTCAAGTGAGTTGTTCAGTAAAGTAAAGGCCCATGGTTTCATGGACATCTGCATCAGATTGTCCACCCATTTGTTTCATGGTCCTACCGCTTGACGACGTGACGGTCTGCCGTTCCGATTCCGACCAGGCGAGGCGACGGCGCTCCGGTTCCGGGCTTCCGGGCTGCCCATCACGAATCTCCACAAAGACCTTCACAGCTCATCGACGGTAGGCCCCATCATATATAATTATATATATTTTTTTTAATACCCTAGGGCTCCAAATACCTTCTGAGAAGGTGTTTGGGGTGGGTTTAGAGGGTCCAAATACCTGTGAGGAGGTACTTGGAGCGCTAGGGATATATTTATAACTGAGAACTGAGAAGCCATTGTTTTATTTGGGAATGTATTTCATGATTGTTTTATTTGGGAATGTATTTCATGTAATGGTTAAACAACCTTCGTTTTGCTGAGTTTACGAGGGAATTTGCCCTAACAAACCATGTCGCCCTATTTGAATGGCCTTGGAAGACTAGGGTCTATGCTGGAGAAAGGAGATCCTTGGGGAGTTCAACAAGTTCAGCTGGAAAGAGAACACCTCAGGAACATGTAACATCGGCAACTGGGGCTCACCAACTTGGGATGCTGAACATCTTAAAAACCTGGCCAGTGCAAGTCCAATCAACTGAACCAGTTCAAGCTACATAAACCTGGACACCCAAACAACCACTGGTTGTGTAAAGGATCTCAAGCAAGCCATATTGGAACGTGTTTCTGGGACTGGGACTCCAGGGAGTCACAAACGGACTCCCAGGGAGCCTCCTATTCGACCGGAACAAGGGATGATGGAACACCTTCGAACTGTTTCTCTCAGATCGGTGTCAAAACCCCAAAGACCACTTACAATCACTCTGACCCTGAGACCGGAAAACCAGGACAGCCCTGGCTATGAATTCCTGGACCTGTTATGCATGAACCGTACGGAAAGCATAAAACAAATTTCATGAATTCAATCGCTCACAGGCCATTCATGTGGATCCGGGTCAAGCCACTTGGTCAAGTCACTCCGTGACACGCGCGGGTCAAGCCACTGCCCGTGGGGACACGCTGGTCGGCCTCGCACCCTCAACGACCTCGCTGGCCTTCTCGAAACGGTGGTCGCTGGTCGGCCGCTCCAGGTAGCCTTCCCAGTTGTAGTCCTGGCTGTGAGAGTTGTAGTGGAGAAAGTGGATACTTGATTGATCAATGGGGGACATATGGGAACCTCATATGGGGACCTCATACAAGCCGGATACATGGAGGTCATCTGCGTCGTCTGCTCTGGAGAAAGTTCCCAAATGGCGCCATGGGTTTGCGCCATCTGCAAGCTACTGACGGCAGACAAAGTACATCCATAATCATCCATAAATATCTTGCTACAGGCAAGCCGTCTCTTGTGTATGCCTTCCTACATTGTCCTACATGAACATATGTCCAATCAGAAATGAGTTATCCTAATGTTTGTGTAATGTTGTTTGGGAGACACCCCCCAAAGCTTGTCACGTGTTGCTTCCTCACGTCCCAGCATACGAGACATCTCACCATGGCAAATGTAGTTCAGAACGATCATCTGATATCATCTGCAGCTGTCTCGTCTTCTGGGCGCTATGCCTCTAAATGATCCTCGAGGTTCCTTGCTCCGTCCCGATCGTTCGAATCCCAAGGTGTCAACCAAGTAGTTTCAAAACCGGTCCAAGACCAAGCTTTTGACCTCTGTTCAGGCTCCTTGTTTGCCTCAAATGAACCTGTTGCTTCATCCCAGTCACGACCGGTGGAACCAGGTCGGCTGCCAGGCGTGGATCTGTGCTTTGTGTGGCTGGATAGCATGGTTCATTTGGACATGTTCAAGTCGCTGTGCAAAGGCAGCCTCCAGAAAGACTTACATAATTCAGCATTCATCACTGATGAGTATCATTTGTTCAAAAATAGGATAATGCATATTATATAGAAATGAAATGAAATGAATAGTAGCTAGTCATCGTTCGTCCTCTTCTCTAAAGAATTGAATAGAACAGCTCACTCCGTGACGCGCCAATAGAACGGCTCGCCATGGTACTTCGCCTCATCATCGGTGGCCATGGTACTTCTGGGCGTCTCATTGGGAAGCCTGGGCGTCAAACCACACACAGACAGCGTCCAGACCGCCTGGCCCTCACAGGTCCAGGTCCGCCGCTTGGGACGCTCGTCGACTCTCGATCGAGCGAGTTCGGCGTGTCGACTCAGTCCTTCCAGTTTCATGGTTCGCCTTGATCTCCTGAGCCTCCTGTCCCGAAGATGACCACATCGATTTCATACCGTGGCTCCAAAAACGGGGAAAGACGGACGTCCAGTGATTCGGTTTGGGGATGTTTGGTGCATTCGGCGATCCAGGGATGTCCATCAAACATTGGGGTGGCTGATCCTAGTCTGCTTATCACTGCTACTAGGGAATCCCTCCAAGTGATTGGACAGGGTCAGCCACCCGATGATTCCCTCCCAGGCAGAAAAGCAGGATCACCTTCCAGATTGTTTCCTTGTTGCTCCCCAGAAAACCAAGGAACACATCAGTAAACATCCATATACTGTGTGAACACTACACGTGGGTATGTGCTATATATACGATGAAGTTACTGCGAAAAAAAAAAAAAACAGGGGCATGGGAGGCTTTTGGTATCAAAGACATGGTATATCCTCTGATCAGATCCGGGGAAACGCACGAAACCACCCGATGGGGGTTCCAGTCTTTCCTTCACGAAAGGGTGCATTTGTAGGTGAGGTATGGAGGCTTCACATCAAAGTATTGTAGGTGAAGGTCAAGTCAGGCCATTTTACGCCTCGGATTGAATGCCAAACAGGTCGTTCATATCTCAACAGTGCGGCATAACCAGAGACCTTTCCACGGGTGCATAGTGTTTGCCTCTTGACAAAACAATGTGTGTCATCAACAATGCAATTTCACATCAAAAGAGTGCCACTTCCCTGCATAGCTTGCCAAAAACAGCCGTCGGCAAAAGCCAATGTCTGCTGGGAGGAAAAAAACCAGGAACTTTGCATAAAACAAATGGACTTGCAATACATTGCAATAGTGCTTCAACATGCCTCAACATTAAAACACATTGGTTTGGGCATACCTGAACATAAGAATATCCGTACATGTTTGGCCTGTGTAGAATACACTCGCCCAAGTGCAACCCAGGTGGTTGCTCGTCGACCAATCGGGTGAAAGAATGGGAATTCTAGCTCCACGGATCTCCACGGAATGGTTGGTTTATGGACATTGTGACGATGTATGTCCATCCAATAGCTACCCCATTCAGTCCCTTCTGTGGTGCTGGATGTGAATGATATAATATTACAATTATGAGGTTCTTCTCAGAACGATCCTGAGACCCCCCGTAACAGCGAAACATATCCGTAAAGCCGCCAATGGGGTGCGAGCGGTTTTCTCCTCCTCCAGGTTGGCATCCACCTTTTCAGGCCACCGGTAGCGCTCCAGCCTTGGGGAGACGGGTGGACTCGGTCGGTGTGAGGTCGGTGAAGGAAGTGGAAGGATCGAACGAGGCCATGCTCTGTCTTTCCTGCTTTTTGTTGACACGGATGGGGACTTGTTCCTTTTAGTTTGTGCATCCGCATCCAAAGTAGTTCGGCGTGTCCATCTGTGCGTCTGTAGTGCCTGAAAAGGGAGATGCATTGCAAGATAAACCGGCCGGCTCTATTCTTATCACATGCCTCAAAGCCAACAAGGGTTTTATGTTGGTTTGGGAATGTTTGGAGGGATCTTTATGCAATGAACTGGCATTCTAGCAATTGAAGCGGCTGAAGAATCAAACCAAAAATCATTCCTCTGAAGCAGTTGTGCCAAACATGTAGTTCTGCCATGTCGAAGGTCGAAGCAGTTTCATCCCAACATCCGCTCTTCAGCTCTCTGAACAACTACCAGCTGATTTGCCTCATATGTTCAGATCCGATCCTTCAATGGCCATGAATTTCGCCTCCGGGAAAAGAGCTTCAGTTTGGCTCCGAGTTCCAAGGACTCTGCCTTCGGAACGTGTTGAAGTCCTCGGCTCCGAGTTCCTTCGATGGAAAAAAAGAAAAGCGAGACGCCTTTCGTTGGACCCTCGGTAAGGATGGTGGCGACTGAGGACGGTGCAAAGCTTGTCGATGGCCGTGGACCTTGCGTTCAAAGTCCATCTGCTCAGTCAAGGCTTGCACCTGCAGGACTTCGACGGGTTGGTGATTGATCGGCTGTGTGTGGGCGATGGACACCACATCTAAAAGAAACCAAGGGCCTTTGAAGATGCCTTTGTGTCGCTCAAATGAATCAGATCTTGGAGATCATTATACCATTTCAGATCTTGGAGATCTTGGACTTCAGATTATTCATGATTAGCTTTGGGCTGTGATCCCTCGACACAGCTACCCCCAAGCCACCAGTGGAACAAATGCCTAATCAGAGGCTTTGGAGCGGTTGGCAAACGGACAGGACGTGCAAGAGTTGTCTGTCAACAAAGGTTGCGAATCCCCTTATTCCTTGTGACTGGCAGTGCCAATCAATCCTAACAGTACAGATCGATGATCTAATTCGCCTTCGCAAGGTGACAAGTAGGATTTGCTTCGCAACAGGGGGATGGTGACTATTAGATAGTTGGTTTCTGCACTAACCATGGGTAGAATGAGGGTTGTTGCATCCGCCAATACTTATCAACCCTAGACTACGCTTCTTTCTTCCATCCTTGCACCGAGTGCCTGTCACATCCGAGTGCAACTCAGTTGGTCCAATCATCAGTGCCGACAAAATGGAACACAAAGGCAAAAGAAAAGAACACGACATCGATTGATGAGAGACTGTCACAGGAGTGTGTGCCACAAAGAACAGGTGAACAAGTCTTGTTCTTCGAGCTTCCGGATGTCAGTCGAGTCGTATAGAGTTTTCTTCAACTTCGGACAGAAACGATGTCCAATTTGTACCAGGGATGTACTCTGTAGACCATCCAATGGAATCAGGTGTGAAACACACTATCCCTAAGTAGTGTAGGGTCATTGGCCCATTGGCCATGGTTCTGGTATAATATCATCACCCCTTTTTTCAGGTGTTTCAAGAACTCGCGTGATGTCTAAGGGGTATGACGCCTTACCGCTTTATGACTTACGGTCTTTCGGTTGATCTCTCGATGCTTGCCGTTGGACCCTTCCGCTGGGTGCACCCTGAGAGGTCTGCCCGGTGCCCGGCGCGTTCCCCCTCGCTCGGTGGTCAACGGGGCCGTTCGCCTCCTCCTTCAAGGGCGAGGAGACGTCGCCGTTCGCCTTGAAGTCCTTCTTGCCTGAGACCAAAGGGGGCGATTCCAAGAGACCAATGGGCCCATTGGGGCGATTCCAGTGATTGGGCGCCCGTGGATGCCGAGGTAGAGGCGATTCCATGAGAGTCTCTCCACACCAATCATCCGCCGTTCAGACGAGAGCTCCAACAAAAATCCGATGTTCGGATTTGGCAACCGAAACCACGCCCACCTGATTCACCTTTTCGGTTGGGGTACCAGTTCTGTCCCAGCCCAACTGGGGACGTCCATGACGGACACCACCGTCCAACTCTCAACATCGACCAAACTTCGGAGTAAAAATTAGTAAAGGAAGTTCTCAAAATCAGGCACCCTGGACCAAAAACACCTACTGCCTGATGAGCCCTTAGACCCTAGTTCATACCTCGGTCGCGTCCGATCGCTCCGTTCGTAGCGATGCCAGGAGCCCCTACAAGTAGTAGCTTCTTGTTACTATAGTAGTAGGGCCAGGAGCCCCTAGAAGCGTCCTTGATGTGAGTCGTCATTTGTTCTTGTCTTTGACTCTCACCAAAGTGAGTCACAGCAGTGCACCGCAGAATCTCCGCGACCGGTCCGTGCGAAACAAAAACGGTTCGGTGCAGTTCGTCCTCACCGTGCTTCGTCCCTCTGTTCGACCCGCCAAAAATCCGAAACCGAAAGGAACCGAAACGGAGGTCGTTGGAGCCCTAGGGCTGAATAGGGAACGAGGGAATTTTCACCACCCCTGTAGATACCTCAGGATCCAGCCACCTATAATTTCCTTACGAGTCGCACCAGTCAAATGGCCATGTCCCTCTAATTCATTGGCCCCTCATTTACAACACATGCGGATTTGCACAATAGGGCAAATGAATTGGGTGATGCGGACCATCCGCTGGGAGGGAGATCTTTGGGGTGTCCAGTACAAAGGAGTGTAGGGTTGTGTCGGATGTTGTACATAATATACAGTAATTAGTTTGTTATACATATTATAGTTTCTAGATATCATAGTCTGTATTCCATTGGTGGATGATCCAAGTACAGTAGG